GAAATCGTAAATTAGAGCTTATCACTCTGTAATTGACACTGCATATATATCATTATCAAAATCAATATTTACTGCCTAACTAATGTAATCATTAATCCCTTAGATTAATACTAGAAATTATGAACAGAAGTGCTAAAACCAAACAACTAACCAGCATCAAAGCCCTTGTCGCGCAAACGGGACATCAACTGACGCTTAAAATCCTCGGACAGCCTATCCCCTATGATCCCACATGCAAGTTCTGTCTCTCTGCAAATCTTTTGCTTCATTTCGTCTTCTTGGTAGCCATCATGGGAGTTGCTTAGCAAACTCTGTAACGTATGTTTCGCCTCAGATTCTGACCAATAACCATCGGTTTCATCTAGCTCTTTCTCTCCCTCTTGATGAACTTTTCCTTCATCATTTTCAACCTCGAAATCTCTCTCGAAGAAAGAATTCACTAGATCCGAAAGATCAGTTGAACCCTCTGGTGAGTGCTCGCTGCCGCTGCTCTCGCAGAGCCGCCTGGGAGCCTTGGCTGCTTCGTTGAAAGCCACTGCTATCCTATTCAACCTCGCTGGGATCCTCGACATCATAGACAGATGAAAATGTTAAAGGAACTCTCTATCCTGCCCGTTTCCTGTCTCACTTCTTTTGAGAAAGAATAATTGAAGGGGACGAAATTTTGGATCTACTGAAGTTACTTATATCGAAAGAAAGAATTTTAGTTCTAGGCAATTCTATCCTCCTAATGTCATCATGCTAGTGTCATAGACAAAAGCCAAAGCACATTCAATTAGAATATTCCCCAAAAATCAGGCTAGATTACTAGGAGATGGTCAAACAATAATGTAAATTATAACAGCATTATATTTATGGAGAGTGGAGATAAATACAGACTAAGCTATGGGTGTACCCAAGCTTAATTGTTCTATGAACATACCCCCTTTACAAGGCCGAATACAATTTGCTATTGGCACGTAGGTCTTTTTTAGTTAATTATCTCAATAATTGCATTAATTATATGATTTAAACATTTGTTAATTCACTATTGGCACAACCAAAGTCTCAAATTTTGAGTTGACTTGTTGACTGCACTCGGCGGCTGCGGCAGGTCGAGCGTTTGATTTAAGCGTCCATGCAAATTCCATGCGGTCTGCACGTGATGAATTGCACAAGCGGCTTGCAGAATTATGGTGCCTCGCGTCATACATGAGATTTTACTCTCCCTGCCGCCTTCGACGTGGAAAATAGACGCAGAGTATTTTTGTTAACTAATTATAAAACGGCCTAGTTCAATGAACATAAAGAATATGTCTAGGTACATTGAATCTGATTTTTCTCAAACCATAAGGTTTTCCAAGATAAGGAGGACCCTTGATAGGTAATCCTTAATAAGTAGTTTGAGGCAAGTACATTTTGGCATTGGTAATTACTAGATTAATTTTATGTTTGTGTTAATCTATAGTGGGATGAATATTGGGTCGCTAAATTAAGTTCTCTCACAGCTTTGAGATCATTTCTGGCCCCAGTCTTGATCCACTGATGTTTAGTGAAAATGCTAAAGAAAACTGCCAAGAGTGGCATCATTTGAATTTCTCAGCTACATTGTAATTTGGTTTGGTGGGTGATTTATGGACCTAAGTCGAAGCTAACAGGCGAACCCTCTGCCAGCTGAACGATGAGCTTTGATTTTTTTTTTTTTTAAAGATAATGATGAGCTTGGATATAGTGATGGCTATGCAAAAGTATTGACCAACTCATCTATTTTTGCTTTTCTTTTTTTGGTTTCCCTTTTAATGTGGCCCAATGGGATTTGGGAGAACAGCAAAATGAGAGGAACGGAGGCTTATTGCTGCCGAATCGTATAATAAAGGCTTGCATGTTGTTTTCAAGCGTTAGTTTTGTTTTTTCTCAATTATGGAAAATTTTATTAAGCATCCAAGTCCGGATACAAACATCGGCTTAGGCAAGGACAGTAAAGACAGGTCTAAGTGGACCTGCTACGCAACAATCAAAGGAAAGAAATTTGACACAATAGCATCTAATTACAAAGGTAAATTTACAGACCAGAACATAAAGCAAAACAAAAAGGGTGAGCCAGTCACGCGCTGCATGCCTAGGGAGGCTCCATATCCCTGAGAGGGTTCTCATCATTTAGAATCCATGAAGAAAGCAACAGGAATAGAAAATGATAGCAAGAACTAGAAATCTATGATATCAACAAGGAGTGAAAAATCACTAAACTAGAAGCATAATGCCAACAACCATATCGAAATAACATCAGCAGATGAGTGTTAGAATCACATCGAAACAAGCGGCATAGTACCATCAACCATGTCGAGGAAACACCAGCATGGTGTCAAATTCACAACGAGAAAACTCACCACTTCCAACAGTCATGGGGAGATTCGTTGTTCCTGCCTTGCTTTGCTAAAGCATTAGCAAAGGAGTTTAATAACTCTGTTATATAAAGTTATTTTTAATACATTTTGGAGATTTTGGAAGTTAGACTTTTGAGTTTTTAAGTTCAGATTTTAACATTTTAGGTATTTTTATAATATAAATTAGATTACATATTGAATAGTTAAATTAAATTGTTTTAATTTAATTTTACTTTATTTTGTTTTAATTTACTTTAAGAAAAGTCAACGTCGATTTCTATCATGGTTTTGTGCAAGATATCGCTGTGATGTGAGTTTTAATACATTGAAAAGTTAAGAGAATGTGCTATAACTTTTATTTAATACTTTGCCCAATTTGAATCAAATTAAGGTAAAAATCACATTTGAAAGTAGTAGACAGATACAGTTCTACACAAGATAGTATGGCAACTGAGGTCACAGCTCTAAGTTACTCATGGCCACGGCGTTGAAGAAGATATCGTTGCAGCATTGGGAGGATCATGGCCACGACACTGATCTAGAGGGGTGCACCATACAAATGGCTAAGAGCAGACCGTTATAGCACTAGAAAAGGAGTGTTACGATGCCACCAAGGCGTGTTACGATGCAATGATGCCAAGAAGTGAAGGCCATGATGCCACCCCGATTTCCAAAAATAAACTTTTGATGGAAATTTGGAAAGCAGGGCACCTTGCACATATTTAAGAGGCTTTTTGAAAGCATTCAAGGAGAGAATAGCAAAAGTTTTTCTGGAGAATTAGAGCTAAAAATTAAGTAAGAATTCAAGAGCAATTAAGAGATATTCCAGATTTACCAAGGTTTAACATCAATTTATTTATCTCTTTTGTGTTATTCCTTTTTTTTTAATTCATGGCTAAATTTCTTTAAATAATGTTTTATTTAGAAATTATGAGCTAATTTGCTTTTTTAAAATTGTAGTGGATTTCAACGTATAGTTTGAATACGTGTTTTTCTGCTATTTATCATGAATGGATATCGTTTTACTTATTCAAATACGTTTTTATACCTTTAATTGTCTGATCAACAATTAATTGATTTGTAAATTTAATTGAAACTGGACTAAAATTTGAATAGTGTATGTTTACATCACTTAGGTAATATGAATTACGATTCGGGTGGTCATATGCAACTTGCTATACATAGCCAAACTATGACACTTGCTTAATGACTTTAATTTAATTGATTCCTATAAACATATAGTGAACTAATTAAGTTAGGTATTTGTACAAGCATCTTGACAGAAACTTGTCCATAACTTTAGATTCTAGGCTAATAAACCACCCAAGAAAGATAAATAACAAGAAAAATTGGTATCACATAAAGTGTTGAATGAACTCATGATCTTAAGTTTTTAATCTACTGCTTTTCTCAATATATTTAATTTTTGTTGGTTAATTCAGTGTTTCTTTTAAATTTTGTTTTTTTATTAGTTTTACAACTTTTAGATTGCTTAAATTAGATTAATTTGCTATACAATTTTAGTACTTAGTAAAACTTTAGAAACAAATCCTTGTGGAAATGATAATTTAGACTTACTGTTTATATTACTTGCTCGATATGTATACTTGTGTGTACAAAATAGATAGCAAAGTTCCTTTCCCTTAGTACGTGTAGGAATGAAATATTACCAAGTTACATAACAAGGGTGTCAATCTCATTAAACACCCTCCATTTATCCCACGGTCTCTTGTTTGAGTGAAGAACCTACGCAAAGGCTATTTTGGAGTCAGACTCAAGCAAAAGTCCCTTTGTTAAAGCTAAGGGGAAGAGGCAAAGAGTTGAATAGCGTGCTTAATTGCCATTAACTCAATGAAGTTAGAGTCATGAATTCTGAGGGGTCTAAAGAAAATTCAAACCACATAACCTTTTTCTAAATCTCTACGCACACACACCACCACATCCGATACAGCCAAGTTTCCCTTTGGAAGAACCATCCACATTAAATCTCATCACCCTTCTTAAGGTGGAGTCCATTGCATTCAATTGATGGTGACGAAAGGCACACATAATCCCAATGTTCCAAGGATCCGTCCACCAACCGATCTCATCAATAGAATCAAGTTCAGCACAAGCACATAACCATAGGGCTAATCGTATACAAATAAATCTCTAAATTATCCCATCTTTTTTTGTTAAAGACAAATTTGTTTCTTGCCAATTATTAGGACTATATGGTTGCTCCATAAACAATCAAACTTCCTTAAAGACATTGACTTTAACAAAAATTTCATCTAAAACACCCATTCAGTTTTATTGCTTCGAATGGAATAGTTGCACACTTTTCAAAAAAATAGAATAATGACACAAGCATGTACTTGTTTTGTTATATTTCTAATAAAATTTTATAATTAAATTATAGAGATAAACATGAATTTATATGTTTACCTTAAACAATTTTCATTTTAAATTAATTTTCAAGTACATGGTCTAGATTCTTTAATAGTATTACTTGCAAGCTTACCAATGAGATGCGGTAGGAGTGCGTTAGCAGAAGAGAAGCAAAAAGACAAAAAGGAACAGTGCTAATACAAACTATATATCAAATCATGTAGAAGCCAGCAGGCCAAGATGTCGACACATTTTCAAGCACAGTAGTAACTCAATTGCAAATCAATAAATCCCAACAAATATACAATTTAATAGCCAAATCCCAATGCAGTGCAATTGCTCTACATGAATTCTAGCCAAAACTGACAAAAAAGGTTGATGGAGTTGCCTTGAGAATTGGATTTTGCTAGTTTCCAAAATGTAACCAGCAGAGCAAATCACTCCAAACCCACACGAGGAAAAAGAAAAACAGCCATCTTTATGTACAAATAATGCAATTCCCAGGAACGACTATGATTGTAAACCAATACTGCCGTTGGAATTAATTGCAGCATGCAAATAACCTCCTTTGAAACCACCCTTTCTGTCAAAAGTATCTCTGCAGTAGTAAGAAACCGTCGGCAACGTCTCAAACCCAACTGATCTTGTGGTTGTAACTGCGTCGTTTTTCTGTGATGCCTGTTTAGCTGAAATTTCATTGGTTGTACGCTTGTAATGGGCAAACCACTTGGCCTGCACGTACTTGTTTCGCCTCCAAGGAGGCACCTTCATGCCCTTACTTTTCATCGATCCTCTCATTGCTCTGCACATCAGCTTCACAATCTTCTTGAGTTCTTCTTGTTTTCCAACGAAAATCCGTGGGAAAACATCGATCAATGAAGTGTAACTTGTGGTTGGTCGAGCTATTTCGAATTCTCCAGCAAGATTTACTTCAATAATGTAACGGGTTCCAGTCACATTAACATCTACATACTCATAACTCCCTGCTGGGTGCCGCTCGAGTTTCTCCCACCGAGATTTGCACAGTCCTGTTTAAGCAAAATCAATATATATACTTCCTATTGCAATAAATATACATAAAAAGAACTGAATCTATTCTACCATATATAGTCTATATAAGCCATGTTTTCCCTGTCGGTTCTCTACAGTTCTAATTTATTGTCTATTAAACTCTGAATTAATGAAATAAAGGAAAATTAAAAGATGGAGAAAGGTGATTAAAGAAAAAACTCACCAGCATCAAAGCCGTTATCTCGCAAACGAGACATCAACTGACGTTTAAAATCCTCAGAGGACATGTCGCCTATACTCCCACACGCAAGTTTTGTCTGCAATAGAATCTTTTGCTTCACTTCATCATCTTCGTTCCCATCACAGATGTTATTAACCATTAAACGCTTTAACATATCTTTGGTCTCAGACTCTGACCAATAACCCTCTGTTCCATCGTTCTCATTTTCTTTCTCTTGCTCAATGTTACCCTCATCAGTTTCAACCCCGCAATTGCTCTCGATAAAAGAATTCACCAGATCGGAAAGATCAGTCAAATCCTCCGGAGAGTGGTCGCTGCCGCTACTCTCACACAGCCGTACCGGAGGCGCCATTGCCGCTTCATTGAAAGCCGCAGCTATCCTATTGAACCTGACTGGAATTCTCCCCATCATGAGCAAATAAAAGTAACTTCCCCCCCGCCCTGTTTCTGTCTCACTTTTGTGTGCTCCCCTTTCGCTCTTTTTGAGGAGAACGATTGAAGGGGATGTTGGGGTGGCTCTGGAGTTTATACTGGAAATGAAAATTTTCAGTTTAGGCAATGGTGTCGTTATGTGCTCATTCTATGGTCATAAATGAGGCCAAATGAAGAGAAGATTCCAGGAATATGTCGCCAGATTACACAAAGATGGTGATATTAGTGTAAATTAAACGGCGCTTATTACATTTATAGAGACACACAATCTTAGTAGCTGGGTATAGTGGGAATGGGATTTGACCTGATTCTTCACCGTTTCCAATGAATATCACCCATTTACTTGTCCAGATTCAATTGGTTATCGATAAACTCTCGTGGAAAAAGTTATATAATTAGCTCGGATGTCCCACGGTAAACAGAACGGATTAATAATGACCCCATACATTTTCGTAGATCAAATCTAAGACCTTTCACGTTGAAATTTTAAAACCCATATTTAATCTAAAATCAATTGTCAGGTAAATTAATCTTACTATATTTATATACTAAAATATCTCTAATTTTACAGATTTAAGATTCCTTTAACACTACTCTATTACTTGTTTCAGTGGGTTTTAACATGTAAATAATTCATCACAAAAGTGACAATAACAACTTTCTTTGATATAATGTTGAATTTTCACGTGTAAGTTTTTCATCATTAAATCTATAAATTTATTGCTTTAAATTGTTTAATTGAGCTGTAATAATTGAGAATTGGCTGCAGTGCATTTGTGAAGTTCCAACTCTCTTATCAGAGAGTTTGAGCTTGACTTGTTGGCTGCTCGGGTCAGGGCTTAAGAAGGCCTTGCAGTTTGAGTTGAGTTTCCTTGTTTAAGATTAGCCCATGGGTGTGCTCAAGGGACAGTTGCCAATGGTGGCTCGTCATACGTCGCTTCTAACTACTAGAACTATTTTACTGTCATATTCGGTTACGACGTGGAAAATAGACATTGGGTTCTGTTTTCGGGCGATCCAGAATCCAGGGTTTGCTGATATTGGAATGACCCAGTTCAATGAACCTGCGTTTATGTCTAGGTACAATGAATCTGATTTTTCTGTGATGAAATGATTTCCATGCTAAAGATTAAAGGATAATGTCATATTCCAACGGTAATGCATGAGAAAGTAAAATTGTTAGCTAATTCAATTTGGTGTTAATTAAGTCTGATGACTTCTAACATAAGCTTGTCCACGTCAGCATTGAACAAAGTAAAGCTAATTGGAATTTAATTAGTTAAACCCCAATCTCAGTATGGGTGTATCGGGCTGTTATTCCAGCTTGGTACATTGAGAGAAGGAACGCTTATCCTACTTGCTAAAGGAGAAAGCTTCCAAAATTGCAGCAATGAACCTGATCCGTTTTGTCGACGAGTAGCCGTTTTTCAAAAGCATGCATAAATTGTTCTATCTATAAAATGGGTTTGATCTATCTTGTACAGTTCATTTCTCAACAATTTATCATATCGATGTAATCTATTATGTAAAATTGTATCAAGAAGAAATTATTGTGATCTCATATCAAGAAGGGATTTTTTTCAAAAAAAAACTTTCAATAGTGACATATTTAAAATTATATATGAAAAGTGATTAAAGGCCTAATAAAAGTATATATCTCAAATTATATATATATTAAAAAAATAAAATTTGAGAGGTGACAGTTCGAGTTTTTGGAGTTAACTCACCCTCGTGGGATCGTGACCCTTTGTCCCGTCCGTTGTAACACGCAGGGGCGGAGCGTCCCTTCGTAATGGGGGCATGGCCTCTCAAAATTTATAAAATTTTTTATATATTATATATTTTTAATAATTTTTAAAATAATTTTTTATTAAATAATTAATATAATTAAAAAATAAAATGACTTTATAAACTCTATTTAATTTTATTCAATTTTTAATTTTTTTTAAATTTTTAAATTTCTCTACCCATCTTTCTCTCTTTTCTTTTTTGTTTTTATATTGTGAAATTATAAAAAAGTAAAATTTTTCTTTAATTTTTTTATTTATATTATTACTATTTATGTTTTTCAATTATATTCTATTTGTTCATATATTTTAAGTTTTTATAGATTTTTTTTAAATTTATACGAATCATCAATTATTTTTTTTGTTATATAGATTATATCTCTTATTTGTCATGGTTTTTTTTCTATTATGTGGATTTTATTTTTAGTGATTTTAATTTTTAAAAATTAAAAAATTATTACATATGTAATTTTCAAATATAAATTCTAGTGTTGCACTATTGGTTGTTGTTTAAAATTTCATTAATATGTTATTTTTTATTAATCCTAATTATATAAGAAAAAATTATCTTTGAGTATATATTTTTAATGTGCTTTATATTTTATATTTAGTTGAAAGAAAATTATCTTGAATATAAGAAAAAATTATTTATTCTGTATATCGTATTTAACTATTTCTATTTTATGCATTATAGTTTAAAATTTGGTATTATAAACTTAAATATAATAAAATAAAAATATTGCTATTGACTACATTAATTTTTTAGTTGATTATATTGAAAAAGACAAGATTTCGAAATAAAATAAATGATAAGTTTTTTACAAATAATTAATTATTTATATTAAAAAAGATATTACCATTGTCAAACAAAACTTTTTTAAAGCACTATTGTCTATTACAAGTTTTTTTCTTTTTGTTTCTTTTGATTTACCTATTATATAAAATTATTGTCTATTTATAATCTTTGATTATTAATAGTTTAAGTTTAATATATTAATTTAAAAAAAATGGAGAAAGTTAAAGAAGTCCTTTTCGTGATAAGTTTAATACATTAGCAAAATTAAAGATTTTTCTACTGGAAAACATTTCGTCAATAAAATTTGTCGACAAATTTTGATAGAATGGTAACAAAAGATAAATAGATTGATGGATTTGTTATTACCAACTGAATTTCAATAGATTATCAATAGAAAGTAAGTAATCAAAAAATAATCGAAATGCGCTTTGACACAAAAAAATTGGATATAGTAAGGAAAATTATCGATAAAATATTTTTTCTACAAGAAGGTTATTTTATAGTAATAGTAGTAAAGGAATTATTAGTAGTAGAACAAGAAACTTGAAGCATTTTATCGCCTAGAGAAGGTTTTGTGAAATTTAACTATACAAATTGTGTAGCCTTTATAAAAAATTAAATCTTGATAAATGCAGACAACAAAGTGGCTTCTAATCAGATGGCAGCAGCACTGTAGACAATTTCAATTTGAGGTAGAAACATATTAAATGTATTAACTGCTTGCCTAATGCCAGGAAAAACGAAAATGACTTGCATCGTCCAACAAGTAAATGAAATTCCATCACTCCAAAAATTAAGTAACCCTAAAAACAGCAAAAGAGAAAGAAAGTTGGTGCTTGTTTCTCTAATTGATTAAGATATCGTCCTACCACTCATAATGGCACAAACAAGAGCTGGAAAATTGGTTTCTTACAATAAGACAAAAGAAATAGGAAGTATTCCATAAAAAAGGACAAAATAGGTAAGAAACCATGTATAATTTTTTTCTTTTTGCAATCAAATGGATTCATTGGTCGAAAGCAAGGTTACCAATATTTTAATATGAGATAATTATCATTCACTATTTACCTAAGACTAACCCTTGATGAGGCATGTTTATATGCTTTATATATATACCACAGGAAAGTTGTTCCTCCTTAAAAAATTGCAGTAGTTTATGCCTGAAAAGGATAAGCATAGAAGAAAGAACTTATCAGCATTCAATCAAGTTATACTTATATGATGAAGATGCAATCTGGACCATAGAGTTTACCAAACTTCATAATTATAAGCCCTAATTATTTGGTATGACTTATCAGCAGAATGTACACCATTCACAATCAGCATTATTCTGGCTACCTCATCTCTTTCTTGCAGAAAAAGGGACATTGTGAAAATTTTCTGCCTCCCATCCTTTTCTTTATAATAAAGATATTATATATATATATTAGAGAGAGAGAGAGAGAAAGAGAATTCTGCCAAACTTATAAATTTTACCAAACACTTTAGTTTTCTGATGAAGTGAGGCTGTGATGGGATGAAATAACTATCAAATAGTTTTCGAAAAGGGTTGGGAATATGCTGTTTGGATTATGTTTAAGATTCCATAGTTTCAGCTCTCACCCAATACAAAAAGATAGATGAAATACCAAAGTCCAACCAATGCAAAGGCTGTGGACCCAATCTATCAACATTCTTGCGTCACAATCTGGGCAGCATCAAACGTCTTATCTCTACTTATCTGCTTTTGGTTTCTTTTTTTTAGTCTGAAATTAGCTTACATCTGCCATCAGCTGGGCCTGCAGTTTCCACTCACATCGACTGCCAAAGTGACACATCTCTAAACGTGTGGACAGGTGGGCAAGAGCCAATGCCCCTCAGTATTAATGAGGATCTCATGGGATTGAACATGTCATTGTTATGAGTTATCGTTCTAGTGAGTAATCCCTAAAATTGACAATAAATTGAAAGAAAAGCTAAATTGGTCACTAATTAATTGATTTTGATCACTAACAAATCACATGCACCCTCAAGGTTTTTTTTTTAATTAGAACTCAAAATTTTGTTTTAGGTATAAAATGTTAAAAAAAACCTTTGATTTTAAAATAATTTAAATAAATTTTTATTTTTTGATTGTATTCAATTAAATTTATTTTAAATCAAATAAATATTTGTAATTAATTATTGATTAACTATTATTTATCTAAATATCACTTATTATTTTGTGTCACATAATATTGATGTGATAATGACTTAAAAAATAAAAATATCATATAGTCAAATGATCATACCACAACATTATCAATTATTGTATATCAACATTTCATATTACCATCCTTTATAGCATATCAACATATCACGTAAGTACCATATGATATAAAATGATAATTAATATTTTGATTAAGTCAATTATTAATTATAAAGATTTATTTGACTTAAAATAAAGATATAATAACTTATTCGACTTAAACAAAACATAAAATGACTTGATTGAAAGTAATAAAAAAATAAAAATTTATTTAAATAATTTAATTTT